GCTTCGCGGTGGGACGCGGAAGGGTAGGTCGCGCGGTATAAATAAAAAAATAGTAATTCGATATACGCGGGAGCTCCCGAAATTGTCTGTTTACATTTCCACGTGACGGAAATAGCGATGAAATAATCGCGTCGTGATAAAAATGCAATATAGGCTTGGCGGCCGTTCAAGAATTTCAATTATAGATCTGGAACTTTCGCGTTCTCTGCTTTTGCTGCTGCCTGCGATGTTCGTCGCGTTGTATTTTTCCGTTTCTCGTAAATCGCGATCGATCTCTTTGTAACTACGGAGACTGATTTGAGTGTTTGATGTTGGAAAGGCTGAGGAAGAGGCGCGTGCTCTCCAAAAGAAGATCCAGACCATTGAAAATGAACTCGATCAGACCCAAGAAGCCCTCATGCAGGTCAATGCTAAATTGGAGGAAAAGGACAAGGCTCTGCAGAATGTAAGTACATTGAAAATATCAATTGTCATCGTCGGTCAACGATTATTCGTACACAGAATGCAGAGGTTTATGCACTCGTTCGGTGTCCTGAAAATTTTAATAGAAGCTCACGAAACATATTCTCTTCTTTTCGCGGGTCACTGTCTCAAATCGCAGGTGCATAAACACTCGAAGTATATTTCTAACGTACAAATTCGAATAAAAAGTTTATCACTCTTGCAATTGTTGCTTAGAAATCTGTAATTTCGGTACAGAACGTGAAGACTTTGAGAATCAAGCTTATAACTCACAAATGTGCAATCGGTGATGCATAGAAAGAAGTTCATGTTCAGATAACCATCAATCATCAATTGTCTGTGGATATCGATAAGATAGACAATCTTTCAAGATGCCTCGTTTTAACACCATTGAAATCGGATGAGCAATCTTCATTTTATTTTTCCTAGCTCTTCCACACGTGAAAATCAATGTTCATTAAGATCTATTAACCCTTTGCAGTCGAACGGCGACTCTAAGGCGCCACTGAAAATTCCTACATCATTCTTCAGTATAATTCTTGCATTATTAAATTTATCTATATTCAATAAATCGTTTCAAGTGCAAAAAGCTGCATGAACAAATAAGCTTAACGTTATATGCACAACAGGAAAATAATTATTAAAAGTAGAAATACTATAGGTCAGAAGTACTGTCTTGGTTTTGACGTTAAAATAACTTCGACTGCAAAGGGTTAAACAAACGAGGCTCTGTCTGAGTCTTCGTTTGAACTTAAAGCATAATTTACGCAAAAATCCTAAAAATTTGACAGCAGCCTACACGAAAGACCCTTCGAAACAGGATTAAAAGATAGCTGAAAACGTCGGGCACAGGAAAAACGCAGGAACACATGCTTCGAACAACTTTTTACCCGCTTGCAAACTGTATAGCATCGCGTTCGAAATTCGAACGTTTGAAAAGCGCGCGAGCCGTCCAGTGATTAGTTACCGACGGCGAAGTGGCGCGCTTCGATTGGCAGATGTCGCCTCGATGGCGCGCAGCCGCCTCGGGTCGAAATAGAGCGGGTTCGCGGCGATGTGGAGGACCAGTCGAGCGTTAGTACGCGGAGCCGCCGTTTCGTAGTTTGGGCGGCGCTCGCCGAAGGTTTTCGGCCGGTTTAATGGTGGTGGTGGCGGCGGCGCGGGTGGAGGGGGTAACCTGGATCCGCGGATAGCACGGTAGAGAGAGAGAGAAAGAACTATAGAAAGCAGGATAGAAATCGGAGCAGGACGGTGCAGGGAGAGGAGACCAGCGTGCTGCTCTCGTGCATGCGTTCGTCCGTACGACGTACGGTGCGGTGTGCGTGCATGCGACGCCGAGCGAGGGAGCGAGCGAGAGAGAGAGAGATAGAGAAAGCAAGAGCGAGACCCTGAAAGGCGGAGTGGGAGAATAAGACCGGAGAGAGGGGGCGACGGTACGTTGCGCGGAGAGAGAGGGAGACACGAGTTGCGAGATAGAAGGACGTATGCGTGGCGCGGTGAGAAACGTGTTACGAACAGTGACAGACAAGATGGCGGTGTGCCTTGTGCGGTGGTAGTAACAGTGGTGCGTGTGGCACGTTGAGAGAAAAAGAATAACACGACAGCACGGTGCAAGGAAAGGGGTTGGAAAAGGGTTGGCAGCTGGATAACGTGGTATGGAGCCAGCTTTTGCGTCGACCACGAGACGTCGCGGTCATCAGCATCATCCGCGACACGCTACGCGCCGACGTCTCGACGCCTCCAGCAGAGGACCCGCGCAGTGTGGCCCTGCTGGCACCGTTGAAAACACGGGGACCGGTGTCGACGAGACGTCGTCCGGATCGGCACCGGCCAGGCTCGACGAGAAGAGCTGTGCCACCGACAACAAGGACTCCGTCAACCCGCAACCGGTGACACGAGCGGTTACCGTCGGCGCGAGGTGGCTCCGTAACCCCACGGCGACGGTGCCGACGGCCGCCAAAGAGACGACACCGGCCAGCAAGGACTCGGACATCCGACAGAGGCTCGCGCAGTGTAGCCCGGATGCCAAGAACGAACGACACGAACGGCCGTCCTACGGGCGCAGGAAGCACGAGGTCCAGAGCTTCGACAGCTTCGAGGCGTACCTGGACAAGTCCCGTAAAATCTCGCATGGCGAGGACACGTCCGACGACGAGCTCCTCGAGCATAGGAGCAAAGAGACATCGCCGGAGCCTGAGCACGCGGTCGCGAGGGCTCGCGGCGACGGGAACTCCGACGACGACGAGGATCCCGAGCTTGTCGAGCTGGCCAAGCTGAGATGCCCGAGCGAGAGGGCCGAGGTGCAGGCCGAGAAAGAAGCCAGAAGACGAAAGCGATGCGCCGACTATCCCGGGCTCGCGTTCGGCTCGTCCATATTCTCCAGCGAAACGATGATTATGTTCCGGCTGATTAAGAACGAACTGCAGAACACTTTGGGCAACCAGCTGAAACGGGTCAGTATCGCATGATGCGGCCGGTATGTAGACGCCTCGCGTGGGAAGGTCACCGCGTGACGTGACCTTGACGGACCCGTGACGTCGGATAGCTCAGGGGTCATTCGGCGGTTGATAACGGGCCGAGTCATCGGTTAAAGTCCTGCTTTCTCTCTCTCGCCCCCACTCTCTCTCTCTCTCTCTCTCTCTCTCTCTCTCTCTCTCTCTCGTTCTCTTTTCTCTCTGCGCCGTTATTTGTAGGTCACATCGTTATTTCTGTTGTCATCTCGGAACACGATTTATCCACGTTCTCGAAACTCTAAAGGGAGCGAGCAGAAACACGGCCAGGTTAGATGATCCAGCGGTTAGCCGCCGAGACGTTACCAAGAACCGTTTATGTACTCGGTACGATCGCTGTAATTAATACCGTTGTTGTCGTTGCATATCGCTCGCTTTAAAATAAGCTTGTTGCACGATCGACCAGAAATATCGGCGACCTCGAGACTGATTAGAGAAAGTCCGATCGCGGGACTCCCCGCCGGCTGAAAATCGAAATCGCGGCATGAATAATACACGCCGGCTGTCGCGCGATATCCTGCAATAATAATTAAAGAGGCCATTAGGAGCGCCGCGAGCGGCAATGGACTTCGCGTAGTCGGTCTTAACGACGCACGATCGCCCGACAAAGAACACTTATTGTTAGGGTTAGCGGACGGGGACAATGGGTTAAGCGTGATTCTCGCGCCCGGCACGACAAACGGTATTCTTACACGTATATAGCCGGCCAGACGATTTATGGATCGAATATCCCTCCTGATTGTTAACCGGGCACGTCGGGGTCGACGTGACTCGGCCGTGTGTGTTTTCACTGTTTCATTTTTGGAACGCGGCCCCACCTTTCGCTAAACACGACGCGCCGCTCGGGTGCAACGCTACCAAACTTGGCGGTATTATCAGTTCCCCGAAGCGGTACACTTCGGCGCAAAAGTATCCCGACTTCGTAATCCCCCGTGTAAGCGAGGATTGCTTTCGCGGGAATGATAAATGGCGTTTCGGAGATGTTCGAAATTTACACGGAGAAATAAAAAGTCGTTCGCAACGGCGCGTCTAAGCGCGTCGAAAATGGCTGCTTAGCGCTCGTGTGGCCGTCGCGGTCGCTTCCACGGACAGGATTCCTCCGTAGTCGTTAAAATGCAGTTTCGTAACAGAAGGGGAACGCTGAGAAAGATACAGAAGCGTTCCCGTGAATCGTTCCGGGTGCAAGACTTTCTTTTGGCTCGAAAGCTGGTCGAAATCCTTGTGTAAACCAAACAGCCGAGCGCGGCCGTCAACATTCTAAAAATACGTGGCGGCCGTGCACGGATCCAGCAGCCTTTTATTCGGCACTTCGACGAGAGGGCATTGCGTAAGCAACGCTCCGGAACGCGCGCGCTCCCACAAATCCGGCTCGTTACAAACGTGTGTCGTTAGCGGCGGTTCAAACCCGGCGGCGTGTCGCGGTATAATAAAACGTTGTTGCAAAACGTCCGTTCCGTATTTGTCACGAATTTGGAACGCGCCCCGTATAGCACGCCCCCCGTATAGCACGCCCGTCGACGACCTTTGGAACGCCGATCCGGTTCCCTCGGATCTTATCTGCGACGTTCGTAACGACGCATTCCGCGATTTCGCGCAAACCTGCTGCCATCTGTGCCCGCATTGTTCGCTCGCCGCCGGCCGCAGGGATTCTCATGTTGAATTCGATTGAAATTCAAATGGATCGTCCTCGATTCGACTCGACTCGACGCCACTTTTGACAGCGTTCGAATTCGAGGTTGGATCGCGCAATGCCAGATGGCGTTACCGTGACGAAAAGCGTGTGCATCGGGTCGAGTGCGCATGGTCCTTGGCAATTCAAAATTTAAATATAGTCGCTTAGCGATAACTCTTCGGTGACTGAAGCCGTTTGGAAACATATAGCGAGGGATATATAAGTTTTTGTTACAACGAAGTGTTATAGAAACGAGAGGTGCTCCAGTGAGAAATGAAATCTGACTGGCCCTGGTGAATAATAAAATTGAAACCTTGTCCTTGGCGAATGTTAATCATAAAATGTCCAACTTGTTTCTCTACATGGAGTTATCAAGTCGAACGTATGGGTCCGATCTATCGATTTAGCAAATACAATTCCGTTTATTTCGAACGATTCTCCAGTAGAAATTCTTCCACCCTTCACTAGACGATTTATAAACGAACGATCCCCGTTTATTATTTCGAACACCGACGACTCTCGAATATTGCAACGCTGACGTCACGATTTCATTCAACGTCGCCAGTTATCAACGGAATGAAATGGTCGTGTCACTTTTAATTTCCGTTTACACGGCGCGATCGTAGATGGCGCGTGCATGTATTTTGTACCGTTACAATCGGCAGCAGCAACCAGAACCGGTCGAATGATTCCAGACCAACATTTTGATCATCGTTATTGAACATCGAAACATCAAAACAAACGATGCTCCTGAAAGTAAACGTCGGGTCTGTCCCCATTTTCATTCGATTCAATACAAAACGCGGCCGACGCCGTTAAAGAACAATCAGCATTTGAAACGTAAACGGTATATACATACATATAGGTGCAATCCAATCACCATATGGAGTTTCGTGTCGCACGGAACGGCACGGGTTATACATTTCTACGTCGAGAATATTGCGAATATCTGTTTATATATAATATAATATATTATTATATTATTATTATTATATATATTATATTTATATTTATATTATAATATTATTATAATATAATATATATTATATAATATATATATTATATTATATTATTATAATATAATATATATTATATAATATATATATTATATTATATTATATATAATATAATATATAATATCTGTTTTATCCGAATTTACATAATTTTTCCTCGCCGCGATTCACGACAAATAAAAACATCGATAGGAACAATTATGACTACTTGAGAAGAAACAGCATTCGTTCTTACTATAAAGTGTTTTCAATAAAATGCAAATTGATGTTCTTACGATTAGAAAAATAAGGAACGAGATAATGTGTCCGCGATAACGCCGCTCCGCAGACAATAAGCCACAGATAAGAACCGTTCTTGTTCTCGTTCGAACGATGTTTGCACGTTGAATATTTAAATTGTCGAGAGAATCGCCGAGCGTGCCATAATTTTAGCTAAATTACTTTTCATTCGAATTCCCATCGCTTTCAGCGCCGCGATGTAAAACCAGTTCCAATCGATACGGTAGAACGTAACGCGAAAATGGTAATGGGGCTACGCGAGTGGCCCTTTCGAAAAGCGTGTCGCTTCCATATTTTCTCGTACAATCGAAGGAAAGCGATCGGATCGGCGTCGATATCCTCTCGTCCGGAGATGCGGCGACCCTCGAAGCGGATGGAAAACCAGGATGACGATGCGTCGAAACAACGCAGGGATTGTTGTCGAGCGTCCATTCGAATGGTTGGGCGCGCTCGGGACGGGCGCGGTATTTCCGGGGCTTTGCGCGCGACGACACGTCGATCGGCGTAATGATACTCGGCGTGCGGCGTCGCGATTTGCGACGCGGTCGCCGAAGCAACCAGAAATCGCTCTTCCGCCGGGACTCGAACCTCCTGCGCGATTGGTAATCGCGCGGAGCCCGGCGACGCCGTCGCTTTTCCCCTTCGATTCGTTCGAGAAACCGGAAAAAATTCGACGAAGGGTCCACGGTGGAACGGTCGAGGAACTATTTGACGTCCGCGAGGCGTTCCAGCGCGCATGCGCGCGACGGCCGGGGGCGGCCATCTTGCTTTCCAGCGAACAAGCAGCCAGTGGTCGCCAGTGCACGACAGCTCGGAGGCTACGAAACTCTCTCTCTGTCGTACGGGTGCCGGTCGCCTATCTTAACCCCGACACATATTATCCTTGGTCGTCGTTGCGTCGCGTGGACCAGGTTGTTCCAATTTAGTGTCCGATCTTCGTCGTCGAGGAAGTAGACTTCGTGCCGAGTCGAGGAAGCCGCGGGTTGCACGAGGCTCGCGCGATCGCCTTGTTTCGAAGCCAGTGTCAGGGAGGAACGCTACACGCGCCATCCGGCCAGCATGTCGACCCAAATGCAGGGCGCCCTCCTCGACGTGCTCAAGAAGAAGATGAGACAGTCCAAGGAGGAGTTGGAGAAGGTCAAGGACGAGTGCGAGGAGTATCAGAAGCGGCTGCAGGTGGAAGCGATGCGCCGCGAGGAAGTGAGTGAGAAATAGAGACTCTCTCCGGCTTCGCCGACCACCTTTTCGCCATTCGCGTGTTCCCACCTATTTCGCGCGAGGGGGTATATCGCGTGCACCCGGTATCTCTGGGTGTTTCCGACTCCGGTATCCGCCGAGCCGATAATCGTGTTCCGTTCGGTCGCGCCGCGACACCTTCATGGAAACGTGAATCAAGCCTCTAGGACTCGGACGCTGCACGCGGACATAGAGGGTGTTCGACTTGGTAGTCGAGGGCGACCCGACGGGCCGGGACAATGCGAAACGCGGAGAGTGACGAAATCGCGAGCGACGCTCCGTTTTCACCGGACCCATCGGTCCTTTCGGAAGGCGGCCGTAGTTAGTCGACGTCGAACCCTCGACGTGTGCCAGATGCGATTACAGCAGCAGGCGGTCGGGAAAATCGAGGATTCGTAGGCGGTCGGAATAGTTGTCCGTTGTGCTCCTATGTTGCACGGCTGGAGTAACGGGAGCGGGGTGGACAGCTATTATGACTGCGAGCGAAAACCAGATAACCATAACAGTTTCTAGTTCGGCTTGTTGTTAGGATTCGGTTGTTTCGACGTGCGTCGGGTCGTGGCGACCCGAGGGAACACGGGATCGTTCGGGAAAACAGCAGGTGCCACGAATCGCGGCAAAAACATTCGAGTAATCTCGTGACAAAAGGGTTAAAGTCCGCCAATAGCGGCGCCGCGGTCAGTCTCCTGTCTCTGTCCCGCTCGCGATACGTCACTGGTGCGCGCCGCTATTGGCGTACCGGAGATTTTTAATCGTTGATCGCTCGAAAGCGTAGCCGAAACCGCAATTTCCTCGCTGCCGGGTTCTGTTATCTCGGCTCGTGGCATCAGCCACCCCTCCCCTCCCTCCTGAATATTTATCCCGTGCAGGGTGGTCTTGTGCGCCAGGTAGCTTAGGACCCCGACGACTAGGAAAAAATTGTAGGGTCCCCGAAAGGAGAGCCGAACAAAAAGAAAGGTAACCAGGACAGTCATAAAGGTTGGTAGGGGGTGGAGGGTCCGACGGAAGGATCGCTCGGGGGCCCGAGGTCGCCTCGACGCGGCCCTGGGTGCTCGACACCCTCTGGCTCTTGGATTCGGTTCGAACTCTCTGTTCGTCGTGTGACGCGAATCCTGTCGGTTTCCACGACGGATTGATTCGTCTCACGGTCAATTTCATCGTGCAACACGCACCGTACGCACGGCGGCGTGCCTCTTCGCCGGAAATACGGTTCTCAACCTCGCAGGACACTCGTTCAGGAAAAAGTATCGATCCCGGCTGGCCCGATGCCGTCAGTTTGTTAACCCCGGAATCCGGTGATTTTCCGATACGACCGCAATCTGCTGCTGCGAACGAAAATAGCCCGAATCGATTCATCCCGGAAAACACCCCTAGTGTCACGGTAACGTAGGGAGTTTTTCGCAAACGAATAGGAGCACCGCAAATAATACGGTGAAATGAAAAGAATTTTTATCGTACTCCTGTTATATTTATTAACGCTAAACCTGCGGAGCACCGAAGACGTGTCTAACATGTTTCATAGGAATTTATTTCGGCATCTTATCATTTTTATTATACGGTGCGCTTGGATTATGCGATTTATTCGATCGAAAGTGGCTCTATAATATCAAAAATATTTAAATATTATTATTAATATTTAATACCGGTCTTTTTGACCGCCACGGTAGGTTTACCGTTGAACAACAGCTATAAATCATTTCAATTGGTCTACGTATTGTTAAGAATTTTGCAAGGGGCTTCAGGAGAATAGTTGAAAGGTTCAGAGAAAGAGAACGAAAGCTAGTTTTCGGGTCTGCTGGAGCGGTCGGGAGCCTGAAAATTAGCGACCGATGGACAGGCCGACGCCAGGTAGTCGAAGGACAGACCTAATAGATCGTACCTTAGTGAGCACAGGTCCGTAGGACTCACGGGAGGACAGAACCAATGAGGAATGAAGTCGTAGAAGTGCCACATCGAGTTTATGGTCAAGAGAATAACAGGATAGGATCTTTTTCATAACGATGAAAACGGCAGAGCCGGCGTCCATACGGCTTTAGAATCGATCGTGAGTGTCGGGCACGTCGTCAGCCTGGGTTGTGGCTCTGGAAAGAAGGGGGGATTGTGGTAGGGACACCACCGACTCGGCTCGACTCGCACTCGAGACATTCTTGATACAACGAGGACTCGCTTGAAAACCTTACCTCTCGGTATATTCCCTGCCGTCGTCTGCCAACAATCCTCCGTGCACCTGAAAATATTCGAACTGTAACTCGGGGAGTCGATCGGTCTGCGCAGTGCGCCGAACCGGGCCCTCCGCCGTGTTTCTATGCGATTCTTCGCGAACTGGAGTACGGCTGGTCGATCTCTGCACAGGCCGAACGGTTCGCCGGAGCCCCTAGGTCGATTGAAAAGTAGAAAAAGCGTTGGTCTGACCGCATTCGAAAACCCTAAACTCTCCGAGTTCGGAGACGTTTATGTCTCCAAAGTCTGCTAAAAGTGCAAATTGCGATCAAATTTAGGACAAGAATAGAAAACAAAGAAATATCGACTACAGAGTAATGTCTCTCCAATTGACGCTCGGATTGTCCACAAAACAATGGCTCTTTTGTTATGGTTATCGATTGTCAGCAACCATAAAAACGAGCCGCAAGGCTCGAATAATCGTATCTCCCAAATTGTTATTAACGAAAAACGCTGACCAATAAGAATCGAGTTCAGCTGGCGCGAGGCGGCCCAGCCAACCAGCGCACGAAGCCCAGTTCCGCTCATTGGCTCGGTCGCCTCGCGCCAGCTGAACTCGATTCTTATTGGTCAGCGTTTTTCGTTAATAACANTATTATTATTAATATTTAATACCGGTCTTTTTGACCGCCACGGTAGGTTTACCGTTGAACAACAGCTATAAATCATTTCAATTGGTCTACGTATTGTTAAGAATTTTGCAAGGGGCTTCAGGAGAATAGTTGAAAGGTTCAGAGAAAGAGAACGAAAGCTAGTTTTCGGGTCTGCTGGAGCGGTCGGGAGCCTGAAAATTAGCGACCGATGGACAGGCCGACGCCAGGTAGTCGAAGGACAGACCTAATAGATCGTACCTTAGTGAGCACAGGTCCGTAGGACTCACGGGAGGACAGAACCAATGAGGAATGAAGTCGTAGAAGTGCCACATCGAGTTTATGGTCAAGAGAATAACAGGATAGGATCTTTTTCATAACGATGAAAACGGCAGAGCCGGCGTCCATACGGCTTTAGAATCGATCGTGAGTGTCGGGCACGTCGTCAGCCTGGGTTGTGGCTCTGGAAAGAAGGGGGGATTGTGGTAGGGACACCACCGACTCGGCTCGACTCGCACTCGAGACATTCTTGATACAACGAGGACTCGCTTGAAAACCTTACCTCTCGGTATATTCCCTGCCGTCGTCTGCCAACAATCCTCCGTGCACCTGAAAATATTCGAACTGTAACTCGGGGAGTCGATCGGTCTGCGCAGTGCGCCGAACCGGGCCCTCCGCCGTGTTTCTATGCGATTCTTCGCGAACTGGAGTACGGCTGGTCGATCTCTGCACAGGCCGAACGGTTCGCCGGAGCCCCTAGGTCGATTGAAAAGTAGAAAAAGCGTTGGTCTGACCGCATTCGAAAACCCTAAACTCTCCGAGTTCGGAGACGTTTATGTCTCCAAAGTCTGCTAAAAGTGCAAATTGCGATCAAATTTAGGACAAGAATAGAAAACAAAGAAATATCGACTACAGAGTAATGTCTCTCCAATTGACGCTCGGATTGTCCACAAAACAATGGCTCTTTTGTTATGGTTATCGATTGTCAGCAACCATAAAAACGAGCCGCAAGGCTCGAATAATCGTATCTCCCAAATTGTTATTAACGAAAAACGCTGACCAATAAGAATCGAGTTCAGCTGGCGCGAGGCGGCCCAGCCAACCAGCGCACGAAGCCCAGTTCCGCTCATTGGCTCGGTCGCCTCGCGCCAGCTGAACTCGATTCTTATTGGTCAGCGTTTTTCGTTAATAACTCGTTGACGGCGCCTCGGAGAACATTTTTGTAAAGGAAAAAGTTGCTTCAAATGATCCGAGGAACCCGCCACTTTCGGATCGCGACTCGTTTTTATAGGTACCGATTTTCAACAATTATAAAAACGAGCTGCAAGGCTCGAATAATCGTATCTCCTCTACCCAAATTTTTGTGCACAATCTCAGCGTCAATTAGGGAGACATTACTGTATGTATGTATGTACAGCAATGTCTCTCTAATTGACGCTCAGTGTGTCCACAAAAATGGACAATTTCGGAAGAGGAGACTCGATTTTTCGAGATTTGAGGCACATTTATATAGTTGCCGATTGCGAACAATTATAAAAACGAGGTGCAAGGCTCAAATAATTGCACCTCCTGTTCCCAAATTGTCCATTTTTGTGGACAATCTGAGCGTCAATTAGGCAGACAATACTGTATGTATATTTTGATAAAAGTTCGCACGAGGAATGTCCTCGACAACAACGTGTCTTGGAGTATAGTACGCATTAACAGGTTTCCGGCAAAAAAAGCAGTCGGTAGTTTAGAAGAAAGAAAGGAGCTTCGTTGCGTCTTCGCGGTCCAATGGTTGCGTCCAGATGCTTGGCGCTGTTTAAACAATAATTAAGCAACGTTTACCACGGTTTTCGAGCGTTGAGTCAGTCGAATTCAGAGTGAATGTTTGCAAAGAGCACATCGTAGCAAGGTGAACATCGGATTTCCGTGGTCCGAGCGACCACTTAACGGATTCGCGCTATAATCTTGGCATTTTTGCTCGGACAGTACGAAACGCGCTGCTCCGTAACGCTGTACAGTAATGTCTCCCTAATTAACGCTTAGATTGTGCATAAAAATGGACAATTTGGGAAGAAGAGATACGATTATTCGTGTCTCGCATCTCGTTCTTATAATTGTTGACAATTCGTAACTATAAAAACGAGTCGCAAGGCTCGAATAATCGTA